GGAATTGTTATCAGTGGTCAACTGAACTTGTTTTGTTTCAATAAATTTTCCTTGATTCATTACATTAACTTTTCTGATTTATCCGGGTGTAACAGCAGAATTGACAAAATCGTATAAAAAATTGTCCAATTGTTATATTAAACTTTCAACCGTTGTATCTTAGAAATGATTAAATATATCTTACTGGAATTCCCCGAAGTTTTTATAGCGTTATGAACTCTACTCTGAGAATGTATAATCACTCTCCAAGCTTAAGAGACTCGTGACGAAATTGATCATAAACGAATATGGCATGTTCGTCATTAATTAATCAGGGCTAAAAATCGGAAGCTCGTGAAAGATTGAAATTAAGTTCAAATATATATATATATATATATATATATATATATATATATATTATTCCAGGATCATTTTCCAACTTATTTAAGATGATCTTCGCCCTCTCTAAATTTCAAACTTTCTATCCTAGAGTAACAAGTTGCCCCACAGGTTCCATGTACGATTTCCTTTTTAAGTCTTTTTTTACTGTTCTTTGAGCTGTCATAGCGAAAACCTCTTTCTCATATGCCAAACGTCTTATGAATTGAGTTGGATCTTTTCTAATTAATCTTTTTAGTACTAATTTGAAATGATGATCCCTCTTTCTGTTGTAACCTCCTGATCCAGGTTTCCTCTCCACTTTTCTCTCTTTTTTAATGTCATTCACCGTTCTCTTGATGATTCTGGAAAGAACTTTGAAGTTGGAAGCCAGACTATATATGTTGGTACCATTACTGACGGTCTGAATGATCCGTTTCCTCTCACCATTGCTGAGTTGGGAAGACAGTGGAACTGACATAAAATGATTTTTACTTGTTCCCTCTCTAACTGAATAACTCAAAGGGTTTTTCAGTGATTCATACGACAAAATGTGCCAGGAAAGTTAATCGTCTTAACTGAAAACCTGAAAAAAACTTAATTGATTTTGTTGTTTTTGAGATATTAAACAATTTTTTGGACGGGCAATTATGCCAATACACGATTTGTACTCTTGCACCGGTATATATATATATATATATATATATATATATATATATATATATATATATATGTATGTAATGTACATATTATAAATTAATTGATTTAAAAGATGTTTTTTTCGCTACACAGTTCTAACCATGTTTCAAAAAAATGGAAGCTAAATATATATTATATTATATATCTTACATAGATTATATATTATATATCTTATATAGATTATATAACTTATTGTTCTTTCTTTTTTTTTTTATATATATATATTATATATATATATATATATATATATATATATATATATATATATATATATATATATATATATATATATATATATATATATATATATATATATATATATGGAAGATGCATGATAAATTGGAAAAAAAAAATTAAGTTTACGTCCATGAGACGACACATGCGCAAGAACAAGAAAATCTGGGAATTTTATATTTAGAAAAAATACCCAAAACACAAACACACACATACAAACACACACCAAATTTGTTCTCAGGTTGCAGCTTCTTGCAGTTAAACCCTTGTGGCATAAAAATAACTCGCTGGCCAGTTCGTTATCTCGAAATAAAACCATGAGACGAAAATAGGCAAATCTTATACTTGTTGTAAACCTTCGGCTGTAGACGAACAAGTCAAAGAGTTTAATGTCGCGGCGAGCGGTCTTTTGTCCCTTTCTGCAACTATCTGGCCTTCTGCTCTAGGAGCCACTGTCTTATAGAGAACAGGCCTTATTTTTTTCGTCAACCCTGTCTAAAAAAGCAATTCATCAAGAACGCATAACCTAGCTTCAGTCAGTGACATTCTTTGTCAGGATAGTTTGGCTTGGATCTTAGGAGGTCATCCATTAAGCTGACCTTTCTTGCCAAGACAATAACTGTAGAAACAATTTCTGTAACATCTTTCAAATGTTTTTCCTTTAACTAGATAACGGATGGAAGTGATATCGCTACATCGGTAAAGTCAATAACTAAAGAAAGAATTCACATTTCAGAAGATGCACGGCGGAGTAATGTATAGCGGCTCGGATTGTGAAATTGGAGATCCGAGTTCGAATTCCAGTTGAATCCATTACATTCACTTACTTGCTAATACCCTTG